AAAATGGTGATAATATATATTAGGAAACTTAGAGTTGGAACAATTCTGTAGATGTTAGATAAGGAAATATAGTGAACCAAATATGCAAATTTTAGATTTCATTTAATTCATTTTATATAAATGGCCAAAATGTCTTTATATATTCACATACTTTTCTGTAGTATAAAAGTTTTAAAACTACCAACTAAAAGAGCTATTTAACATTTTATTCTGAGCATGTAACCAGCCTGTCTTGCCTTTCCCCAGCCCTGAATCAAATATTTATCCCTTTGTCTCTGTAAAAAGTCAGTCCCAGAAATTAACTCCCAGACAGCATCTGAAACTGTACCCAGCCCTTTGTTGTACCACACATGCCCATCAGTGTTCATTCCAATTACTGTATTTCCATCCTGGGAAACCTGCACAAGCAGCCTTAATACTTTAGCCAGAAATTGTTCATATGAAATGAAAACCTTACTTAGGGAAGCAGATTTCTAAATGCAATGATACTGCTGGCAGAATTACACGACTCATTACTTTCCTTCGTGCTTGTGACAGTTAAAGAATAGAGTTTTAGGTTGCTGTGTGATAGCTGATAGACTGAGAACCCTGTAGGTTCTGCCTTACTCTTGATCTTTCTGCTTATTCAAAAACGGGCTAGGGATATACAGTGGCACAAGCGTCTGCCTGGCAAGCACAAGGTCCTGAGTTCTATTCCCAGTATCACACACACACACCAAAAAAAAAAAAAAAAAAACCAAAGTGAAATAGAACACTTTACAAAAATACTCATGTGAACCCTGAAGAATCCCAGTGACCTATGCCTAAACTCAGAAGTGGTCACTTAGGAGTCCTGTAACGTAACTTCATGTTCTCAAGAATTTCTGGAGAGGATGATTAAGACTTGCAGTTTTGACTCAAGTGACTTCCAGATGAATTCTGTACCTTCACCCTTTTCCTCGATTCTGCTTTTCCCCCAACAGCTGTTTCACAAGAGCATTAGGCTATGTGCCAGGTACTTTCCTCTAAACCAAGAAAATTAATCAGTTATGACATGGACATATTATAGTCCAGCAGGGGAAAAGACATTATATAATTATGAAGGAACCAATAATGGGAGGAGCTACAACTCAGTGTGTATAGGAAAGAATTTCATAAGTGATGAGACCTAAAAGTTGAGATCATGATGCAAACATCAAAGAACAAAAATGTCCTAAAGGGGAAATGTACTGACTTTAAAGCAAATGGAAAAAGTGTAAACCTATTTATTACATCACATATTTAACAGAGGGAAATGTAGTTAGAGAATTTAGCAAGGAGAGAGCTTGAGAAAGCTGCTAAAGCAGGAAGTTATAATCCCACCTACATGTTTTGAAAATTATTCTGCTACATTAGTGCAGATATAATAGTAGGAAGACAAAACCATGATGACACATAAATAAAAGATGAGGGAAACTGAGGAGTAAGGAATCAGGAGAGTTTTAAGTGATATCTCACATGAAAGATAAAAAGGAGTTAGAAGGGTAACAAGTCACTGCAAACATCCCATTCCATCTTGGTAAACAGCCTGGTATGGCAGCAACAAAGGGTATATGGCAAAAGTAAAGGCAAGAAGACCAGTTATTAGAAAACTATTGTAGGGCTGGAGAGATGGCTCAGTGGTCTAAAGCACCTACTTG